TAAGATTTTATTTTTAAGTAATCTCTACACCCAACATGGGGCTCGAACCCACAACCCCGAGATCAAGAGTCGCACTCTGTACTGACTGAGCCAGCCAGGTGGCCCAGCACAAGGCACTTTTTATGGAGGAGGACAGGTGTTGATGCCCAGTAAGTAGGTTGGGGCCAGATGTAATGGATTCTCTAGGTGGGCTGAAGTTTTTCCTGATTAGAAAGCAATTAGAGATCTTTAAACACGAACAAGACTTGATTGGTTTGGGGCTTCACAGGGATGCCTCTGACAGCGAAGTGAAGCAATCTGTAGGTTGCCATGTGTCCAAGTGGGAAGAGTGCCAGACCCGAGGCCCTGGGGTAGATGGGGGTGGATAGGCTTGAAATCCATTTGAAAGTTAGACTCAGCAGAAGGGAATGCACATTCAATCAGAAATTGAATGTAGAACAAGAGGGAAAGAGAAGAACATTAGATTGTAAATTAGTGTCCAGGTAGATATTTTCTCCAAGATCTTTTAGTAGGAAAAGATTGAATTTACCAAATCCTCTAGGTGACTTCTAAGACACATATTAACCCTCCAATTTGCCTTTTAGTCAAAAATTAAAAAAAAAAAAAAAAGAAACTAGTCTAAAAGAATCAACCATCAGCAAGCGGGTCCTCTTTTTTAGAGAAGGCGGCATCTTGGTGTTTGAAGTCATGTTGTCTATTTATCTGTCACACTTACGTTGCTGGCCCTGTTCAGAGCCAAGTCTGGGCATTGGTGCAAGGCCCTTGGAGCTTTTCTTGCTTTTTCTTTCAGGATCCCTGAGTCAGAGTGAGGAGTATGTCTCGGGTAAGCCCAGTTGAGGGAGCAATGAGATAGAAATACACACTGATGTTCAGGGTAGCCTCCCACGGCCAAGCCACAGCCTTACCCTGTTGGGAGTAGTCCTAAAAATGAAAGTTCTTGTCATGGTTGCATCTGAACTTCTATCAGCTGGATGAGGATGAGGCTTCATTGTCATACACTTAATGCATTTGCTTAGATCATTGGCTAACCAATGTTTTTCCAAGACTTTTTGACAGTTATTTTTGTTCAGGAAGGAATGATAAAGTGAGATTCACCATCTGTATATGACATTTGTTTTATTTTGACATTTCTTTTCTAGACGGCAAAGTGTTTATAATTAGGTTTCCCTCTGCCAGAAACATTGCTGCAAAACTATTTCCCTAAAAAAAAAAAAAAAAAAAAAATTTCAGAGCTTCCTTTACTAGTTGGGAGTCATCTTATTTTGATTTGGAAGTTTTTTCATAAATAAGTCAGTCAGGAAATGAAACGGGAAAATTTTCTCTTGAAAATTAATTCTTAGCAAGAACAAAAGTTAACTTTTGCCCAAAAGAAAATCAGGAGAGCGAGTGAAAAGAAATGTGATAGTTCCATGGTCTTTTTAAATTTTCGTTTGCCAGGTTTAAGTGAACAATAGAGGAAACCTTATTCCAAATGAGCTTGCTGTGTAGTCTTACAGCAACTGTGATCAATTTTATGTCCAGCCTCTTGAAATACCCAGGAGGCTGTGCTGGAACTGATGCATGGAGAGCCCAGCTGTGGGTCCTGCGGCCCTGCTGCTCAGTGGCAGCCATCAGGCAGGGGCCACCTGTGGAGATGCAGACCCCTGGCAAAGCCGAATTGCCCTCTTCGTGCCGCTGGTTGTGCTTCGGCTCTGTGACAGGGGAGTCCGAGAGAAGAAGTCGCGGTGTGCTTGTCGACAGTGCTTTCTCTCCAGAGTGCTCTGGAAAATGTGACTGATAACAGAGGACAGAATCCCTTCCCATTGCTAATGGGAAACACAGCCCAGTGAACTAGCGGCAAAAACGGTCCTGCTGGGCGCCTGGGTGGCTCAGTTGGTTAAGCGACTGCCTTCGGCTCAGGTCGTGATCCTGGAGTCCCGGGATCGAATCCCGCATCGGGCTCCCTGCTCGGCGGGGAGTCTGCTTCTCCCTCTGACCCTCCCCCCTCTCCTGCTCTCTCTCTCTCATTCTCTCTCTCTCAAATAAATAAATAAAATCTTTAAAAAAAAAATTAAAAAAAAAAAAGGGGGCGCCTGGGTGGCTCAGTCGGTTGAGCGGCTGCCTTCGGCTCAGGTCATGATCCTGGAGTCCCGGGATCGAGTCCCGCATCGGGCTCCCTGCTCAGCGGGGGGTCTGCTTCTCCCTCTGACCCTCCCCCCTCTCATGTACTCTCTCTCATTCTCGCTCTCTCGAATAAATAAATAAAATCTTTAAAAAAAAAAAAAAAAAAACGGTCCTGCTCACCGCATCGGCGCCCTCCCCTCATAAGATGTGGAAGCACCTTCCAGCTCCCACGGTAGCCTCAGTGGCCACGTTCTCCTTCCGGCACAGCGTATTTTCCTTTTTGAGTCATACCCGAAGGGCTGCTCCCAGAGTCAGATAGCAGACCCAGCCACCCTCCTCCTCCTCCTCTCCACACGCACTTCCTCCACCACCGTCTAGTATTTTTGTACTGAGCGCTAGCAAGTACGTGGAACGGAGAGACATTATGGACTATCTCAAAGGAGTGCATCTAGTTAAAATGGAGACAACAGGCATCTTCTACAAGCCCTGAGCCAGTATTGTTTATAGCAGTCTAGATAATAGAGCAAAATAACAGTGCTGCTGACTTAGCCATTCTTGACCTTACAGGCAGAGTAAAAACTTCTCTTTCCAGTGTACTCTTGTGTAATATGAACAGCACCTCCTTTTTTTTTTTTTTAAAGATTTTATTTATTTATTCATGAGAGAGAGAGAGAGGCAGAGCGAGAAGCAGGCTCCCAAGGAGCAGGGAGCCTGATGTGGGACTCGATCCCAGGACCCTGAGATCATGACCTGAGCCGAAGGCAGTCGCTTAACCATCTGAGCCACCCAGGCGCCCTGAACAGCACCTCCTTTTAAGGTTTGAAATGTTGGCTACGGGTGACTGATACTCTGAAGTATACAGAGTATGGAGGAATCCCCTCTGTCAAAAGGATGGTGGCCTCTTGTTTTGAATATACAGGTTTGTTCTTGTAAAGTAGGAAGTGTATTTAATAAGCTGACTTGGGTGACTGTTTGGTCCTTGACTTTTGGTCAAGAAGAGATGTAGGGTTTAAGGAAAGGTTCTTGTAAGTCTGTGATGGCAAATGATGAGACACATCATCCCCAACCCATGTGTTGAAGAATTGTCACCTTCATGTCACCTAGCTCCACTCTTCTCCCTCCCTTCATGAAGCACAGAGAAGAACCAGGCACCTCGTGTGCTAAGGATTTGAACAGAAGCCTCCTTGGCAGTAGAGCCTTGAATTTCTTATCCGCCAGCAACAAAGGTTCCTCTAAAGGGAAATATCGTCACCTTCTGCTATATCAAAAGGAAGAGTATACACTTTGCTGAGTCTGTGCTTATGGTTTTCATAGGGCAGGGAACCGTTATGTGGCCTGTAGGTATAAAACCCACTGCATACCGGGGACATCAGGAACATGGCACTCTGGGGACAGAAGGCACCTGGGGAGTCGCGCAGACCTTGTTCGCATCCTAGCTTTGCCCCTTATTAGCTATTTGGACTTTTCAAACTTCTTCTTCTTCTTCTTTTTTTCCTAAAAACGAAACGGTTATGATACTAGACTGAGTTATAAATATTAGCTACCGTTTACTGAGCACTGAGGTTATGCCAGGTACCCAGCCAAGAAATGATCATAAACAGTGTCATTTCATTTTCATCATAATGCCTGAGCTAGGAATTCTTCTCTCCACATTGAACATAAAGAAACTGAGGTATCGTGTTGCCCTGGGTCACATGGCTAGTGCGCGGTTGGCATCAGGCTTCAATTCCAGGTCTCTCAGACTTCAGATTCTGGGAGAGATACTGTAAACTTAAAGTGGTGCCTGGTGCATAGTAGGTGCTTAACAAATACCAGTTCTTTTTCTTTCCGTGTGTTTCCTGTGGCTTTGGTCTTGATTTCTGCGTTGGATTTTTACGTACAACATTCTACAGACTCTAGTAGGTCTGTCCTACTGCCCTCCTGTGGTTCATTTGGATAACAGTAGTTTGAAAAAAAGATTTAATTGAGGGGTAATATGTATGCAAATAAGGGTTATTTCAAAAGTGTCTGTGGAGTCCCCTGAGTGTATGGGTGCTTTTGGAGATACCAATGATTCTACAACCTCAGTGTACAAGAAATACCACTTTTTTTTTTTTTCCTCCTACAGTCCAACTTAATTTCTAACTGAGTTCCACCCAGCTGGTAAGATACTTAATTTCAGTCACTCTTGTAACTTCACCTCTGGCTTCAACTTCAGTTGTCTTGGAAGAGAAACTTTCTCTTCCCTGGCACAGTGCATCAGTTGAAGCTTTGTCTTGCCATTCTGTCAAGAAGGGAGGAATTTTTCTTGCAATTACTTTTTCCACTCGACTGGTGTGTTTACAAGAGACATTTAGCCCACTGGAGATATCTTCAACTTTCACACCTAAGAAAGAGTTCACATCACCAGGGAGTAGAAGTTTAATTTAGTTACCAGTGTAAATGTTAGAAAGTTTTTCCAGGTGAGTAAAATAAAAAGGTCCCCAACTTATCAGGAGCTTTAACTCACTGAGTGGAATGTCACTTGAGGGTTCTTTTTGTGGATGGGAAAGGGCTCAGTGTACCTGGATTCTTTCTCCTATGTCACACAAAATTGCACACATGCATTTGCAATCTAGTCGTTGATCATTTATACAGGGCTCTATCCCAAGCAGATATCCTCCGGGGACTTGCTTGTTTTTCAGCGACCCTATCCAAGGGGATTTGAAGGTCTCGTGTCAGATTGGTGCCACGCTACACTCTGATTATGTCTGTGTAATGGAGGGAGTGTTGGGCGGGAGAGGGGAGGTTGGTACTGAAGGCAGTAAGGAGGGGGCATCTTTTTTAGTTCTTAAGCCCCATTTAAAAGCAACACAGAAGTCGTGTGTTCTTAAATGTGTCTAGCGTTGTCCTCATGCAAAGACCTAATTGTGTTTCAGATAATGGAGGACAGACTCTGGCAGGGGGCAATAACTGGCCCCTTCGAGGAAGAAAATGGAGCCTGTGGGAAGGAGGCATTCGAGGGGTGGGCTTTGTGGCAAGCCCCTTGCTGAAACAGAAGGGTTTGAAGAACCGGGAGCTCATCCACATTTCTGACTGGCTGCCGACACTCGTGAAGCTGGCCCAGGGAAGCACAAATGGCACCAAGCCTCTGGACGGCTTCGATGTGTGGAAAACCATCAGGTACCTGCTCATCTTCCTTTTTATCCTCCCAGGGCAGAACCTGCAAGAACAGCCTGAAGGGATTGAGGGAAAAGGATAGCTTTTGTGTGAAAATGATAATTTGACTTACAATTAATTATTTTTTTAAAAAAAATAGAAATGTCTTTAGAAATATTGTAATTATATGTATTTTTTAAGTTCTGGATTTGAGATTGTGGCCCTGGGTTTTACGTGAAGAGGAAGATTGTCTTCTGCTGCTCACCCTCTACAGGTGTTTTTTAAGCAAAGAAGCTTCTCAAAGGGGTAGGATAGGGTATTGTGGGCTTCCTGCAGGGGGTCAGGGGACCTGTCCTCTCATCTGCTAGGAGAATGGAGGACCACGCAGGGGATAGAGCTAGAATGTGAGCCAGGGAGTATCTAATGAGCACCCATTATGAACCACCCCCTTTTAGGGGTGGAAGGATTAGGAATGAACAAGACAGGAAGATCCTGGCTTTCATGGAGCTTATATTCTAGTAGAGAAGAGTTGGGGGGGCAGGGGGCAGGGAGAAGAAATAAACAAGTAAACACATAAATAAGCAAGATGACTTCCAGGAGCAATAAACACTATGAAGGCAATAAAACAGAGTATTGTGATAGAGAGAGCCGGCAGACATTAAGAGAGGTACACTGGGGAGCAGAACCCAGACTCAGCTTTGGATATGGTGGCAGTCCTTTTCCTGTTTAGCTACCACGGTATAGAAGAATGGCACCCAAGGTGGGGAGGTACACACCTTCAAGGGCGCAGGAAGAACACTATAAACTTGTATTTGTATTTAATTTTATTTTATCTTCGTTTAACAATATGTTTTATAAGGTACATAATGTTTTAGAAGATTAGTACATATATCCAATTGATAAATAAATGTACATATATCGGAGATTTTGTTTTTACTGATAGAATGGCAGTTGTCTAGTGCAATAGTATTTAACCTTGGTTTGGTGTTACAGAGGGAGAAAAAGTGGCTGATTGTCTAGTCCCTAGTGGCCAGGAGGAGACAACCTCCTCATGCTCTCTTCATCATCCCACTCCAGATGCCCCATCTCAAAAATAGTAGGGTTTCTATTCTTAGGAAATATGCCGTGGAGTAGGAGTAAAGGGTCATGATAACATGTTAACATATCCTCAAATAGTTCAGAAAAAATTGTGTCTATGTATTTCAATTTATATTTCAAACATACACACAATGTGTGTGTGTGTTTGTGTGTGTGTGTGTGTGTGTGTGCAGAGAGAAAGAATACATACCAAGTCAAATATTAACAGTAAGATAATCTGGGTAAAGGGCATAGGTGTTCTTTTACTATTTCTTATTTTTGCAACTTTCTTTAAATTTGATATTATTTCCAAATAAAATTTTTTTAAAAGTAGGAGATTCTGGCAACACCGGGGCCCACCTTTCCACAAAGCCAACTGACAGGAATCAAGTAGTTGCTGTCTTCCTTAGATAAAGTATTCCCTCTTCAAATCACATCTCCACTGCCCCCAAATCCCAACCCCGGCCCACTTCATTCATTTATGTTAGCTACCTGGTCTTTGTACATTTAGGTTTATAATCCACAGTGCATAGTCTGTATCTACCATAATTTAACCAATCCCAAGTGCTAGATATACTGGTTACCTCTAATCTTTATATTATCAGTTTTTTTTTTAATTTTTTTAAAAGATTTTATTTATTTATTTGAGACAGAGAGAATGAGAGAGAGAGAGAGCACATGAGAGGGGGGAGGGTCAGAGGGAGAAGCAGGCTCCCTGCCGAGCAGGGAGCCGGATGCGGGACTCAATCCCGGGACTCCAGGATCATGACCTGAGCCGAAGGCAGTCGCTTAACCAGCTGAGCCACCCAGGCGCCCTATATTATCAGTTTTTATGTAAGCAATATTCAGTATTAAAAATAGTAGGGTTTGGGGTGCCTGGGTGGCTCAGACGGTTAAGTGTCCAACTCTTCACCTCAGCTCAGGTCTTGATCTCAGGGTCATGAGTTCAAGCCCTGCATTGGGCTCCACGCTGGCCAGGGAGCCTACTTAAAAATAAAAATAAAAATAAATAGTAGTGTTTGACATAAGATTGCTTTATGCAGAGGAAGTTTGACAGCTATTAAAGTTTTAATGCTAAAGCTTAAAATCTCCTTTGAGCTTAGAAATGGATGAAAGAAGCATTCAGCAGGGCTATTCAGCCTCTGACAAGCATGGAGTCTATTGGTTCCTTTGTAATGAATCTCATCCGGGAGGTGAGACAGGGAAGGTCTTCATCTCCTGATTTGATTAGCTTTGTATCCTTTTTCTTTCAATTATTTTGCAACTCCAAGTTCCCAAGTTTTCTTTAGAGAATTTATCAAATTTAAAAGATCTTTTCTCAAAAAGCAAAATTTAAAACATCAGGAAGCTCTTCCTTTACCTTTTCCTATTTTCCAACTATTATTTCAGTCCTTCTTATAAATCATACTGTTTGGGGGAAAAATCCTAACCAGCCCCAAACTGTCTCCTATTCTTACCTGAGAAATTGGTTTTTCAGTTTGGATTGAATGACCAGTTTATGATTTGCCATTTAAAGAGAACTCAACCATATCCACGTCATCAAACAGCTAAGCCAAGAAGTAAACAACAAAAGGTTTTCTCTCATTAGTTGTTTTGAAAATTTATACTCATTATTTGCTCATTCATACAAGATGAATTTTTCTTTTTCTTTATAATATTTCTGCCCCTACTTGTGATCTGTGTTCTGTGGTTACTCTATTTTTATTTAACTTCCCTGAGTGTCAGTAATATATACTCATTGTAGATAATTTGCAAAGTTCAGGCAATAAAAATAATCACCCAAATGTTACCTGGAAACAGCTACCATAAATGTGTCATATTTCCTTAAAATTTTCTTCTTAGCATTTTTTTACTACCTCTTTTTTGCCCCACTTAACACATTATCACTTTTGATCATGTCATTCAAGAAACTCATTGCAAACATTATTTCAATGACTGCATATTCTGTCATATGCCTTGATATACTTAATCATTCCCTTAATATAGATTGATTTTTCCTTTTTTATCATTAACAGTGGGGTAAACAATTTCTTCATAAAATCTCTGTCTATATTTTGGATTTTTCCCATTAGGTAGAAACTATTGAAAATTAAATTATTAAACTAGAGAATGACTTCTACGTATTGATTTATTTTTTTGAATGTCACTCAGTTTTATTGCATACATTTTTAGTTTTTTTGTGTGTGTTGCTGTGGAACACAGACCTTGAAAAAGTTTGCCTAATTTTGGAGAGTGAAGAAAATAGGTATCAAGTTAAATCTGAGTTTGATTTTGTTAAAATATCTAGATATTTCATCATTCAATGGTGAGGCAACAAGTAGCAACCAGAGATGTATATTCAAGGGACATGTTGGGTAGTTTGTGTTCTGTAGTCCAGGTAGACATCGTCTCACACCTTTCTCTCCTCTGACTGACTTATGACTGGTGAATTCATAATGTGAGGGAAAATGGTATAGTTTAATTTCATTTTTCTAGCCTTATTGAGATATAAATGACATAAAGCATTTTGTAAACTTAAGGTGTACATCATAAACATTTGATACACATATATACTGGGAAGTGATCCCTACAGTAAGGTTAGTTAGCACATTTATCACCTCTCATAGTTATTATTTTTATGTGTGTGGGGAGAACATTTAAGATCTACTCTCTTAATAACTTTCAAGTATATAATACAGTATTGTTAACTACAGTCAGCATGCTATACGGTAGATCCCCAGAACTTACTCATAGCTGGAAGTTTGTACCCTTTGACCAACATCTCCCCATTTCCCCTACCCTCCAGGCCCTGGCAACCACCATTCTACTCTCTGTTTCTAAGAGTTCAGCTCCCCCTCCTCTCTGTTTTTTAGATTCCACGTGTACGAGATATACAGAATTTAGAGATGACCATTTTGAAAGCATTTGACAGACATTATAACATTGTGTTCCAAAAAAGTAGCAATATACTCTTATTCCACTGGTATATGAGAATTCTCATCTCCTCCACAAATTTTCCTTATATAGCTTTTAAAAACCTCTTTGTTGATATCATAGGCAAAATCATCTCATTTTAACTCAGATTTTTTTTATTATTAAAGAAATTAATTTTTAAATGTTTTCCATTCCATTTGTATTTTCTCTTTTGAAAATGTTCATGACTTTTTACGTTTATTTACTGAAGTTTGTGTTTTCTTGCTGAAATCAGTTTCTCTTTTGCCTTTGTGGTCAGAAGGCTTTTTCTCAGCCTGAAATGCGCTAAATATTTTCTTCTAAGTGTGGTGTTTTGATTTTCTTCCATATAATTCTTGAACTGTTAAGCGATGATTATGTGTGTTATGTGAGGTCAATATCTAAATCAGAGGAGTGAGTTTTCTCCAGGTTTTTGATTCTTAGACCTCTTTGAGACTCTAAAAGCTGTGAATTTACAGAAGGAAAGTACCTAAACATATGCACAAAAGTTTGGAAAGAATTAATTTTTGTGATATTGAACACTGATTATACATTATTTCTATGTGGTTACACATAGAAAAATATGAAAACCATTCTTTATAAACCTGCCTCATACATTTTTTTTAAGGTTTTTTTTTTTTATTTATTCATATGAGACAGAGAGATACAGAGAGAGAGCATGAGCAGGGGGAGAGGCAGAGGGAGAGGGAGAAGCAGACTCCCCGCTGAGCCGGGAGCCCAATGTGGGACTCAATCCCGGACCTAGAGATCATGACCTGAGCCGGAGGCAGACGCTCAACCATCTGGGCCACCCAGGCACCCCTGTCTCATAAATTTTTTTTAAAGAAAATCTGTTACTTTATTTTTTTTAAGTTTATGTAATTTTTTTTTAGTAATCTCTACACCCATTGTGAGGCTCGAACTCATGACTCCAGGATCAAGAGTTGCATGCTCTTCAGACTGAGCCAGCCAAGCACCCCTCTCTCATTAATTTTTACAGCAAAAATTAATACCTA